AGAAAGTTGAAGGAAATGATCCCTTTAGTGAATGTTTTCTGTAAGTTTACTGGTTCAGTACAGAGAGTAACACCCAGGTGGCACTTTTTCTGCAGAAGTAGTAGGATTTAGGTAACGGAACAGTAATTATTCTCTTGATGCCTGAGGCCTTTCATACATGGAGTCTGCTTTACTGTGTGAGGTGAGAGGAGCTGAATTTGCCTGACTCACCATAGTTGCCGTGGCTCTTGGGGACTGGTTACCCCACTCAGGCCAGTAAAAACTTTCCCTCTCGCCCGGCCGGGCATGGCTCAGCGGTTGAGCGTCGACCTAGGATCCTAGGCAACAGGGGTTCGATTCCCGGTCAGGGCACATGCCCAGGTTGTGGGCTGCAGCCGATCAATGACTCTCTCATCATTGATGTTTCTATCTCTCTCTCTCTCCCTCTCCTTTCCTCTCTCTGAGATCAATAAAGATATAAAACAACAACAACAACAAAAAACTTTCCCTCTCACTGGACTAGCAGGTGGTTGTGGGGGGTGTGCCAGAGCAACTGATTACTCCATGGTCCTCCTTCCCTTCCAAACACAGATGTCCCTCACTCCTCCCTCTCCTAGCCTGCACCCTCGCCTCAGGTGAGGGCTGCCATTTCTATAGTCCCTTAGGTCTGGTGCTCATTGAATCAAAGACTGTTGAGCATCTCCCCCAACTTTCTCCTTTGAGGGGTGGGTTGCTGAGAGTCAGAGCAGAGATCAGGCAGAGCTGATTCCCGTGCAGGGACTGTCAGTGACTAAATGTGAGGTCCAACCATGGAGCTCAGAAAGAATAGAGGAAGAATGCAGAGGGAAAGGACATTGAGTTGAAATTAAGGGGATGTTAATAAACATCTTGCTGACTGTCAAGAGATAACTCATGTCTGCACTTACATTAATTTAAGTAATTTTAAACACCTTGCTGGTGGAAAAGTAGCCAGCTGCCTGGGTGAGTTGTGGATCGAAATAGCCGGTCAGAAAGGTGTGAGAGACCAGGGAAGAGATGGAGATGGCAGAAAGATAAGATGACAAGAAGCACAGAGGGGCCACAACAAGGGGGAAGTGGCTGGGAAAAGGCAGCTGGATTCAAGGTCAAGGGAAAATGGAGATGTATGAAAGTCATACTGAGGACAGCACTTTTTTTACATTTGTTTCTGCCTTACCAATGTAGAAAGTCAGGTACACCATGGAAATGCAAAGAATAATGCTAGTCAGCGTGTTGCTAAATAGATCTGTCAATATGTACTGAATGATTTTTGCACTCCAATATCCAAAGGTTATGCTTCCCAAAATTTGGAAGATTATATCCATGAATATGTGGAACTCTAAAAGAAAAGAAAATGAGAAAAGGCAAAGTGGAATTATAATTTTTGTTTCTTTCATGGGTGGCATCTGGGTCTATGCACTTTGGTTTGCTCATAGGTTCTGAGTGGAGACCTTGACCTTCAGCAGATGGAAGTTTCCCATGAAAGCTGATGAGAGGCTCTCTGGGGATATTCCTCACTGTCTGCAGCCTGGCGTTTGCTCATTCAGGGACAGCAGCCTCAAACGCCCCCAGGGGCCAGTCTGGGAGAATTCTGTGGAAAGCCTGTGACAAGCTGGAGAGTATCCAACCAAAGGATACCTGAATGTCCATTCAAATTCAAATGTTTCAAAATTTAACATTCTTTCCCCCTTAGTGTCCAAGAAAAGACCTAGATAGCATGTAGTTATTTTCTTGTTGCCTGATATGCTATTTTAATTGGTCCAAGAGTAAAGTATAGAGAAAGAAGTAAAGTTAAGACATCTTGAATGTGTTTTAATCTCAGTATGAACTGAAATGCACCATGTAAGCATGATTTTAAGAAAATATAGGGACCAAAAAAAGAAGTGTTCCTACCCCTAAACATGAACATCTGAGGTAAGTTGTTCCGAAGAATTCCTAAAAACATGCATGTGAAGCCACAGACGATCATGGCTTCTCCTCGAATGATATCAGTATACATTTTGGAAATGCCTGGAAAAGAAAATATAAAATAAAATTTAATATGATACATGTAAATGATGCTCTTGCACAGGAAACACAAAAACAGGAGAGAAAGAATATGCTAGAAACAAAAGAAGGCAGCCATGCCGATAAATCTGTAAGGCAGTCATGATCGCCAGTTTTTAATTTCTCCACTGTACTTACTATGTCTCCAGGGGCAAAGGAACACAGCCACAGCACTCCTTGAAGTACCCATGGCCTCGAATCATGTTTGAGCTTCAGAATGAAACAAGACACTTCTCAGGACACATTTGTCTTGAGTAAACATGAATCATTAAACTCCAAATGAATCACATTTTAGAAATAAGTACAAAAGGCAACCCAGAAATTCCATTCCTAGGCATACACTGAAGAGAACTGAAAACATGTGTCCACACAAAAATTTGTACATGAATGTTCCTAGTGGCATTACTCATAAAGCCAAAAAGTGGAAACAACCCACAGTCCATCAGCTGATGAATGGATAAGCATCTGTGGTCTCCCCCTGCAACGGAATATCATGCAGCCACCAAAAGGAATGAAGTTCTGACTGATCCATGTTACAGCTATGCATGAACCTTAAAAACATTACACTAAGTGAAATAAGCCAGACACAAAACTCACATATTGTATGGTTTGATTTATATGAAATATCCAGAACAGGCAAATTTGTCTTACTAGAAAAAAAAGGTTATTGGATCCAGAACCACCTGAGCATTTTTGACACAAAGAAAGTATCAACTAAGAGCCAAATACCTTCACTAGTTTTCTTTTCAAGAAATAGGACACTTTCTATTCTACTCCTTTACTGAAAACATTTTTGAATATGGGAAATGCAATAAATAATCAAAGCATACAGTTTATTATAGCCACTTAGAGTCAAAAGATTGCAGAAAAGGGAGCAGAAAGGGAAGGAGATGAGTGAAACAAGGGGCAAATATAAATGACTAAAAGAGAAGGACAGGTGAAGGAAAGAAAAAAAAAAATGCACTTAGTTAAAAGAGAGAAAGAAAAGAGGACAGGACCAGACTCTGAGAATTTAGAATATTTACCATCACAAGTGTCTTAACACCTCCTATGTTTTCCCAACTGTAGGGATAATTGGGTGTGAAAATGGGAATATCACTTGCTGGAAAGCTCAGAGGTTTCCCGCTCTAATCATAAGGCAATATATTTCCACAAAATATAACCAATACCTGAAAACCACAGCATCTAACCACTTCATGTTTGTATTGCTGAGTTAATAAAACATGACAAAAGGGAGATATTTCAGTGTGAAACGATCTTTTACCAAGTAAAGTAAGATGAGCAGCTTAGTCCTCTTGGGAATAAGCTCGTATTGAATAACATATTTATCAGGCTATATCCTCTTACCCTGTTTCCTTTAAGTCAACTCCAACCACCTGCCCAAGGTTAGCTCATCCGAAGCGGAGTTCCAACAAAGGCAGAAGCGGCGCTGAAAAGGTTTCATTGGTGCAAAGCACAGCCTCTGCCTTCTAGCGTAGAGTTCAGTGGAATGGAAGAAGAACAAATTTTATCACCTTCTAGAAAGGTTACATTTTCTTTTTGGGGGGGAAAAAAAATCCTTTGAGATTATAATTGGTGTTATTTAACCCAGATCCTGAGTGGCCTCATTTGCATCATGTCCTTCAAGTCAGTCAAGGCTCCACCTCCAAGGACAGCAGCACCAACATCTACTCCGCCAGGCGCACAATTTGAGCAAGAAAAGGAAAATCAAAAGCAGATCATTTATCCTTATGTCTTCAAGAAAAGAGAGTGCAATAGATCTGACGTACCGATAGTTTTCAGCGAATTCACAGAATGAATAGGATCCGTCATGCTGAGGATCATGCTGAAGAGCACGCAGCACTGCAGGTCCCACGACTCCTTATTGAACTGGGAGACCACGTAGCCAACTATGATGAACGCCGTGGAGAAGCTAATAAAGCCAGTTAATGAGACCTGCGAAACCAATGCATTACCCAGTATTAGGCTCGACATCTGAAGACGGCCTGGCTTCATGTACTTAAGTAAGGATCGGATCTTGGTTACATATTTTATACAATCCCTCTGGAAGGTAAAAGGTATTCTAGTTTACCTGCCTTAGAGAAACCACCCCTTCCAAACAAATGAAGGTTCTATCTTATTGTTAAAAGGCCAAGTCCCCAATATTTCTTGCTGTTCTTCCAGCTTAAGAGTTCTCAACATCAAAATGATGTTCTTAAAATGCAAACTTCGGCTTTCTGTGTAAAACATTTCCTGGGTTCCTTGGTGGCGCCATCTGCAGGGCTCCACGTAGAAACAGAAAGAAAACAAAGGGCCAAAAGCACATGCCCGCTGATTGGGCCCTCTGATTAAGGGCATTCTAGAAGAAACCTTACACAGCAAACTTCTGTATCATACATTTCATTGGCCAAACTTTTCTAAGGCTACCACATACGTCAGGGATGCCGGATTATGTGGTATTTTACAGTGGGCCCACTACCCTACCAAACAAAAAATAGTACGTTTCTGTTAGTGAGGGGAAGGGGAGAATGCATAGCAGATAGGCAATCAGTAGTGGCTGCCTCAGAAACAGAAATAGAATGGAAAACTTTTAAACAAGCAGAAGGGACGAAAAGGTTAAAGAGAAGTGAGTCAACTTGATTGAGAAGGGAAGAAAGCATGAAAAAAAGCAAAGGAAACGCATGGTAAATGCAGACTGCAAAAACTATACGGGAGAAATAAAGCCAAATCTATTTCCTTTGATTTTTAAAAGTTTATCTTTAATTCACAAACAGTAAATTTCATTCTTTTGGGGTACAGTTATATGAGTCTTGACAAGTGCATACAGTCATTTAGCCATGACCACTGTTAAAAACAGAGCAGAGCCCCGGTTGGTATAGCTCAGCTGGTTGGAGCATTGTCCCATACACCAAAATGGGATGGGTTCACATCAATGTTTCTCTCTCTCTTTCTCTCCCCCCCCCCCCNAGTGTTGCTCAGTGGCTGAGCATCGACCCATGAACCAGGAGGTCACGGTTCGATTCCCAGTCAGGGCACATGCCCCAGGTTTGGGGCTTGAGTGCAGGAGGCAGCCAATCGATGATTCTCTCTCATCATTGATGCTTCTATCTCTCTCTCCCTCTACCTTCCTCCCTCTGAAATCAATAAAAATATATTTTTTAAAAAAATCTTTGAACCCTAGCCATTTGAGTCAGTGCTTAGATCATTGGCCAGCAGACTGAAGGGTCCCAAGTTCAATGCCAGCCAATGGCACATACCTCGGTTGCAGGTTCAATCCCTGGCCCCGGTCGATGCACAAGCAGGAGGCAACCAATCGATGTGTGTCTCTCACACCAATGTTTCTCTCTCTCTCTCTCTCTTGCTCCCTCCCTTCCACTCTCTCTGAAAAAGCAATGGAAAAAAAATATCCTCAGGTGAGGATTTAAAAAATAAAATAAAAATCTTTTGGGGGGGGAAAAAAGCAGATCAATCACTCCCAAAAATGCCGCATGCTACCCCTTTGTAGTCAATTTCTGCCCTCATCCCCAGTCCCTGGCAACCAATGATCTGTAGTTTTGCCGTTGCTAGAAAGCGAATGAATGGAATTCTACAACATGCAACCTTTGAGTCTGTGTTTCTTTCTCTTAGTGTAACATATTTGAAGGTCTTCCATGTTGTTCCTATCAGTACTCCGTTCCTTTTTTATTGCTGAGTAATATTCCATTGCCGTACCAAACTTCATAATTAACAAAATAATATACTGAACAAATTTAGACCCCTACACTCAACAGTTATATAATATACATTTTTGTAAAGCAAACACAGGACATTTTGGAAAATTGGTCACATACTAGGCCGCAAACCAAATCCCCAGAAATCACAAGAGTTGATATACAAAGCACATTCTCTCTGTGATGAGAAAAATAATAAAAAGTCATATTTGGAAATTTTTAAACGATTTCTAAATGATTAACGGGTCAAAGAAAACAGTATAATAAAACTTAGGTAGGACTGGGATGATAATGAAAGCACTAACAATAAAAACACGTGGAATTACACTCGAAGAGTAGTTACAGGAAAATTTAAAACCTTAAATGTACAAAATACAAAAATTAAGTAAGCTAAAAAACAACTACTATCTAACTCAAGATGTTAGGGGGAAAAAAACACAAAATAAAACCAAAGAAAGTAAAATGTTCTTTGAAAGGAAAATAAAATAGTCTGGCAAGCATGGTTAAGAAAAAGAGAGAAGGCACAGATAAAACAATCTCAGCAACAAAAGCTATATCTATAGGTGAGATGAAGTCTGCTATGAAATTAGAATCCAGGTCCTGCCATTTGTCAGCCTGGTTTGTAACCTCTGAATGGCAGTCTGTTTACATATAAAACAGAGATGATTTTTACTCAGTGCTGACTCACAGTGGTCACTCAGCAAATACTCATCCCTTCTCCCTCCCCTCCGCTCTGATTGCTGGTCTGCAGAATGAGGCAGGTAAAACAACTAAAAGTGCGCTATTTGTGAATTATTAACCTTCGTTATAGACAGTGATATTCTCTGTCACCATAATTTGTTTTAAAATGTGTTCCTACCTGCCAAAGCACATTCCTGAGGATATGAAAGTCCACGTCCAAGGCACCCATAAATACAATTAAAGGTGAAACGTAACAAAAAAGTGAGAAACTTGATGTTCTTAGAAGAGGGTAGACAACCTGGTGCATCTAAAACAACAAAAGTAAACAAATTCGTTTGCTGCCATTTTTGAAGTATTGGAAATTCGGTTGCTGGTACATCAATCAATATAAATTTTAGAATAATCCCATTTGCAATTTATGAGGGATTATTTACAAGGACAGTCCTGGGGGTCTTGGGGAGGTTTCTTGGTCTTGGGGAGGTCCAGATGAGTCACATGTATTCTCCTGTTCGGCAGAGGATTGTGCGGGCCTTGGGCTTCATGAACATTGCTTATGTAAGCAATCAGTGTTTTCAAAAGTGGAAGCCCTACCATTGGTGATCTCTGAGATGATTTTAGGTGGTTCACAGATAACTATTTTTATTTGACTCTTAGATATTTATGCTAATTTGCATTAAGAGGGGGAAAAACCTTGCACAGGTACTTGTGACTTTATAGACATTTACTTAGGATTTTAAAATCTTTCAGCGAATCGGGCAGAGAAAACAATATATAGATAACAGTACAAATTGTGTATACAGGAAACAAATCATGAAAGTTGTACATGGAAGAATGGAAAACACAGTAATGATTAACGTGCCATAAATATTCCCTCCTAAAAGGCTCTTGGCCCAATTAATAGTTAATCTTCACTACTTAGCCTCCATGTGACTCAGTCTCATCTGTAAAATGGGAACAGAGTAACTACTTCCATTGGGTTGCTGTGAGGATGAATGAATTAACTCAAGAATTAATAACAAGTTAATAAATTTAATAAATACAAAGCACTTAAAAGGGAGCCTGGCACATAGTAAACACCTAGCTGATGTCATCTAGCAATAGTGGTGGTGTTTCAGAGAACAAACTCAAGGCTTCCACAATCCTAGACGGGTACAGGTATTGTCTCCATGTTTAAAACATAAAAGAATGAGTGGAGACAAACTGTTACTAATCATACTGCTATGCATCTGAAATCAAGAGTTAATAAATTCATAAATTAATGGAATTTTTCTTGTATGTATAGTATATATGGTATGTATCATATATATTTCTATTATACTATATTATATATGAAGTTGGCAGTTGGAAAAGAGTAACCATGCTTCCTCATGACAATAACTGCTGCTTTTTTAAAAATTTATTTCAGAGAGAGGAAGGGAGAGGGAAAGAGAGATAGAAATGTCAATGATAAGAGAATCATTGATCGGCTGCCTCCTGCATGCCCCATGCTGGGGAATGAGCCGAAACCCGGGCATGTCCCCTGACCAGGAATCAAACTGTCACCTACTGGATGCTTGACCACTGAACCACACTGGCCAGGCTAAGTGCTGCTTTTTATAACCAGAGTCTCCATAGGAGTTGAAGACAATAGCACAGATGAAGCCAGTTTATGTCCAGGGAAAGAAACTGGGACAAGGTTTCAAAGGAAGACAATGAAGAACCCAAGAATGCAATCAAATTGTCCACACTTCCAAATTGGTGCTTTTCCTTAAGCATCTCTAATTTATGTCTCCTTTACTGTATCGTTTTTTACTTTCAAAACTTTACTACCAGGTGACTATTTTTCAGGAACTGTTCACATAAAATAAAAATCCATTCAGGGATGGGTGGGAGTGGACCTTGTTTTAGGTCTTTGTTCTTTCATTCATTCTCTAACGGATGGTACAAACATTACCTGAATAAAATTGTAGGCCAGATATCCTACCAAAAATCCTGTTACAGAAAGAACTGTCAAGATAGTGACTTCAGAATTCTTTATAAAGGACTTCAGAATTCCTAAAGAAATAAATGTATGTGTTATTTAGACATCATGTGTAGTTTCAAAACAGTTTCATATCCCCACTCTCTCTAGTTAGTTAATTTTAAAGTTACTCTCAGTGTTATATAATTATGAATAAATAATTAACAGGGCAAAAAACGTCCTCTGAGTATCATTTCATCACAAATGCTGCTTCTTAAGTATAAGACACACATAATGAGGTATCTGTTACAGGTGAATTTGGAAAATACTGAAGTGCCAAAAACCTCCCATTTGCCCACCCAGAGTCACTTACCTATGGATCTACTGATGAGAAATTATAAAAAGCCAAACTCCATATCTATACAGTACATTTTATATTAATAATTACTCATCCTGAACTACAGCAACATAGATTCTATAGTCTTCCTAAAAGCCAGAAATATTTTTAACTGAGTTCTAACCACAGTGCAAACTACCTTCACCAGACAAGTAACAAAAAATACTTGTTAATTCTCTCTATGTGTATTCTGCCTTGAAACTCTCTGCTCTAAGATTCATTCCCTCCAGAAGTAATACATAGACTATAGTCAAATTAATGTATGCCTCTGGCAAGACTCACTGGCATCCCAGATTCTGCATTTACTGACATTCAGCTATAGGTCAAGCCAAATCAGTAAATATTTATTGAAAACTTTTTATTTGTAAGGCCAGACAAAGAAATGTTCCTCAAACGATGTCTGCAATGCCCTTTACTGCTGGAGCATTTGTCTCTATGGAACCACCAAAGACCTAGAACCAGTGAAGTTCATGGTCACCAGCACTTCGTAGTACCCACAGGGACCAAGATCATTAGCGACTATTTGAAAGGGCCCTGAGAAAGCAATTTCACTTCCTGATACAGTAAGTAAAACTGAAGATTTTTATACATGTTTGCTTCCTTGTTTGTTTGTTTATAGTCTTCCTAGTTCCAGAAAGGATTTTAAAGCAGCTGACATTTTTTCTCAAATAAAAATGTTTAAAAGGGACTACAAACTTCTCTAATCACTAGCATTGAGTTGTGGAACCAAGCACCTGCGTTTCTGAATGTTATTTTATCTGCATGAATATTGTTCACCATACCTGCTGAATTCTTAACCACTGTTTAAGAGGCCCTGACTTGTGAAGCCTTTCCTAATTCCTCAATAGGGGTTGGGCTGAGTGGTTCATCTTCCCATAACAGAACAGACAAAACTGATGACTCCGGCCATGCGAACTGTGAATTGTACGTCTAGGTTCTATTTGCCCCAGTTGCCCTCCCCACGTCCCAACAATTTTGGTCAGGTGAGGCCTGGCTGGCAGATAGGCAGTGTATGGCTCTCCCTCCTCCATAGAGATGGTCGACCATGCATTTTAGTTACACTAACCACACTGCATTGTAATGATCTGTTTGCCCACTGTCCCCATGAGAGGACTCCTTGAAGTTAAGGGCTGTTGGCCAATGTCACTGAGTAAAGGAACGTAGTGTAGATGCTACTTATACTTAAATGAAGCTGGACTGAGAGCATTCCACTCACATCTTACGATTTCCTGGGACCCTTCTTCTGATGTAGTTGTGATCACTTTCTGCACTGACAAAGACTGAGAGGGCAGAGGAAAGATGAGATTTAAAAGCCACTACCTACCTCCAAACACAATGATGAAACATATGAACATTGGAAAATATCCATGAGTTAAAACGTAGTCAGCAGACCTTCCACAGAGGAAATCAGGTTTGCTATTACCTTGCATTCTCCCCAAGAGGGAAGAGTTCATTTTTGTGAGTGCTTTTTCAGTCCTTTCTTGAGGAATTCATAGGTGAGTTATTACTGATACTTTCACAACTACAGACCAACCTATAATAATATGCAAAAAGGAGAAAATGAGACTTGCCAAGTACCCACGTGCACACATTCTTTCCACTGGAGATTGTACCACACTCAGAGCTGAGCACACTTGTTGCCACAGGGCACTCGTTCACACCTCCTGTTGCAGCTTGTGCTCCAGGAACATTATTCAGGAAACAAAGGGCAGAGTTAGTGCTTCTTAGACCTACATGTACATCGGGGAGGGCTTGTTTGGATTTCTGCACTTCCCACTGTTTGATACGGCAATGTGTCTGTCTCCCCCCTGGACAGTGAGTTTCTCAATGGCTAGGGCCGAATATTAATTTTTCTTAAGGCTGCGCACACAGTACATGGCACATAACAGGCTCTCCCTAAATATGCGATGAACTGAACTCTTTGAAGGGGCACTCTTCCTCCATGGATACAAATCATTCTGGAATTCCCTTCTACTACTGCAATCCCATGTCCCCTTTTCCTCTCTAGGACCCCCGCAAAACCAAAATGGCAAATGGGAAACAAGGTCAAAGTTGAGCCGCACCAGCTGGGTGGGGGTGGTAAGGTCAGTGAATAATCTGAAAAGAAAGGAAAAAACTAAAATTGAGTTTGGACCATGCAAAATCCTTGAATCAGAAAAAGCCCCCTTTCCTGACCACAGGGCACAAGGCTTGGCACGTGAACAACAGGCGGGGTTTCAGCCTCCACGCCCCTCATGCTGGTGCCCTGGTGTGACGCGTGGCCTCTGTAGTGGTCCTGAGGAGGACTCGTCCTGCTTTATTTCGAGCTCACGCTTGGTTCTTTGTTTTGCACTGGTTTGGTCTACGAACCACAGTGATTCTGGCGGGAAGCAGAGGGCGGGCCAGAAATGAGATTCAAAGCGCTACGTCTTCAAATCACTTCACCTGTCTTCAGGTCCTTGTCATCTTCGCATCCTGCTCTCGTCACTCGTGTCACTAGAGCATCACTCTCAAGTCAAGTTCTCCAAACTACCAAGACGGGTGGTGGCTTCTTCCAAGGCCCAGCGGTTCCCAATTGAAACCCCGGGGAAGGCTGTGGGAAATCGCAAAGAACGAGGCTCGCTCAGTCCTGCGTCCGTTTGCCAGGGGCGGTGCTGCCAACTGATACCCTCTGAAAGGCATCTCCACGCCTCGTTCCTATTGGTTTCTTGCCAACTCCCTTTCATTCTGATTGGCTGCAAACATCACCCCCACCCCCAATCCAGAAGCAGCTAAGGGATCCAGTTCCAGGGAAGCTCTCACTTCTCACTATTCAAGCTGTGTCCACACCAACAACTGTCTTAACTGATTTTTTTGCCCGACATGATAGCTGAAATGGTCATTGACCTTGTGGACAGAACCTCCTTCTAAATTTTTAGAAATATATAGTTTTTCTTTACTCATCCCTACCCCTCTTCAGCACTGCCTTGTCTCCCCTCTGACTTTTTCATTCACCCCTTTTCCATTTTCTCTTTTTCTACCACTCCTTCTATTTCAGTGGGAGTTTCTCACACATATTTTCCTCCTTGGCTCCTATTTTTCATTGGCTTTTGTCCCTTAGTTTGAAGAAACAATCTCACCTGCTCCTCATAGAAGAACAAATGCATACCAGATTCTGTGGTGCCTAACTTACATATTTTTGCCTCAACTCTAATCACGAAAATCAAATACAGTATAAATTTAAGCAAATGAACATTATTAATCAATGTGTAGTTTACTTTCAAGGAAGTTACTTTGTGACAATGAAATTCTACTCTCTCATTCCTACGCCACACTAATCAAACCCTCTTTCCCGGGACACCAAGGGTAACACCACAATGGTGAGATTACTAAATCTATCATCAACCTTCTCCATCACTACATATCAAGGAAACCCTGGCAAATGGAAGTTCCGATTCCCACTTGTGTCTGCCCCTGATTGTAATCACCACCATTGGTACCCACAACACCATTCCTCCAAGTATTTGCTTTACATTTTGTTGTCTAGTATGGTTCTTTTAAGCCAATCAACCCATCCTTACCACAAATCCCAAGGTCCATGTATTTTAAAAAGAGTCTTATTCACAGGCTGTCTCCTGAGAGACCCATTCCTTACTCTTCCCCAACATGCCATCACTTAACCCTCCTAGTTATCAAGTTCACTATTCTTTTCCCCATTTTTGCCTTCACCTTATCTATATTGCACGGCCTCAGATCATTTTGAATAATATCCTTTTAGGCTCTAATTCCTCTCCTATTACCATCTCCTTGGGCTCACTGGACTCACCTAGACCCTACAGGTAAGACTCATGCAGTTTTACATTTCAAAATCCAGATTCTCCATGGCATGCAGAAAAATTCTCATATCTCAAGAAAACTTGGACAAAATTCAGAGTTGGCTCTAGATTATATATAGTTCTGAGAGCTACAGATAGCACATAAATAACACAGAGATGATCAAATTTCTCTACATGATAATATTTTCCACAGAGTTTCAAAAAAGCAATAATCAATTTATATTTCACCATTTTGGGTAGAACCAAGTAGATTTCGGTAGCTTTGGGAGTTGAGGGCTGAGAAGGTGCCCAGTGTATTGGCCCCAACCCCATCTCCTGATAATAGACTATCCTATGAGACAGGTACAGAACACGGGTTGGTTAATCATAGTTTCTCTCCCTCTAACACTATGACTGATTCAGGGATGGGCATGAGCCTCAGGATCAATCAGGTAGTTCCTTAGCTTGATATGTATATACCACTATTGGAAGAGAGCTGTTCTCTTTCTGTTAGGTGTAGCTGTGATTATGGCTGCCTAGAGCAGCTAGAGGCCATCTTCCAGCTGCACTGAGAAAGCACACCTCCAGTCTGAAAGGCTCCACGAGGCCGCACCTTAGATATCTCTGAGGTCTCCACAAATGACCTCACAATTCCACCTGAGATTTTATCTTTTCTCAGAAGCTACTTCTTAGTTTGAGAATTTTTGCCATCTAGAAAGTCTAGGAATGAGAAACAATTTTATTTCCAAACGCACCAAGTACTGGCTTGATATTTCTTTGAAATTTTATATGAAAATGGAACTATTCTTTGCAGCTCATCTCTCTCTTCTCACATTTTAGAAGAAGCCAGGGGGCACCTAAACACTGTCTGGGAAAATCCTTATCAGGATCACTGAGTTCATTACTTAGACAACAGAGTGGCCAAACTTACCATCATCATATAACGCGGGCCCATTTTCTCCAGCTTCTAATAACATTTTCCTTTCTTTCCTATAAATTCCCACTAACAGCCTCCTAGAAGCCCTTAACAGATTCTGCTAGCCTGGCCAGTGTGAATCAGTTGGTTGGGCAACATCCTGTGCACTGAAAGGTTGCCAGTCTGATTCCTGATCAGGGTACATGCCCAGGTTTCGGGCTCGATCCTTGACAGGGAGTATGCAGGAGGCAGCCAATCGATGTTGTTTCTCTCTCCCTCTCCTTTCCTCTCTCTCTAAAAACCTATTTTTAAAATCTTTGGGGGAAAAAAAAAAAGATACTGCTAATAATCTACTCACAGCCCTGCAGGCCTATCACCCAGTCTTAAAAAGTCAATACCACATACTTTAGGGTTTGTTGTCAATTTCTCACTTCCAGGTTCCCAAATGTGCATGTTATACGTTGCATGTTACATATTTGCATGTAACAAACACAGACAAAACTTAGTAGCTTAAAACAACAACAATCATATTTTTAGCTGAAACCTACAGTTTTGCAGGGCTCAGCAGGGAAGGCTTGTCTCTGCTCCATACAGCATCAGCTTCAGTGGCTTGGCTGGAGGATCCACTTCCAAGAGGGCTCATTCACACGCTGGCAAGTTGGGGCTGGCTGCTGGCTGGAGCTCAGCCAGGGCTGTGGGCAGAGGCCTCCGTTCCTGTCCATATGGTCTACCCACAGGCTGGTTTCCAGGAGCAAGCATCTTAAGAGAGCTAAGCAGAAACTACATCTGGCCTTTTAGGATCTTTTACAAACTATGGAAATCACATAGTATTACTTCCGCTATAGTCCAGGCCTGCCCAGATTCAGGAGGAGAGAACAGAGACCCACCTCTCTGTGTGAGGAATATCCTGATCACACTGTAAGGAACAGGTGGGATGTGAGATGTGCCCATCGTGGAAAATACAATCTGTTACAGAGTAGATCAAACATTGGGTGGACTGTCAGCCCCTTACAATTTGGGGCATCGTGCTAACTTGAATAGCAGTCTGTCTGCTGTAGCTTAGCCTAGAGCAGTAGTTCTCTAAGGCTGGACCATAGGGCAATTGTGATTCATGACAAAATTTCCATCATACATAGCAAAATGAAAAAATATAAAAGTCTATAATAATATTTAATTCATTCAACTTAAAGGGTAGAGTCTTACCCTTACTGGGCTATGTCGTCCCCTCTTTTCTGGTGTTAAAATTTCTTTTATTAAATGATATAGTGGTACAGATAGTAGTTGTTTTCTTTTTACGTCTTTTCAATCAATGAAATACAAAAGTCTAAGAAACCACTGTCTAAAAGTTATAACACTGAATTTAACCTTTGCTTGCCCACCTCTCAAATAATGCAATTTCATTTACTACTACACACTTTGAAACAGTAATTACTTGCCAGCCGGTGTGGCTCAGCAGTTCAATTCCCAGTCTGAGGTTGATTTTATACCGGGGTCTCCAGAAGTGCCTCCGTCTTACCTAGGATTCTCTGAAGTGAGATACAGGAGTCCTTCCTAACCAAGAAGACCACATGCCTGGAAAGTAATATCATATTCAAGATCAAGGCTCAGAAAATGCAGAATTAGAGTAGAAACAACAAACATGGCATCAATTATTTTCCCAAATAATTGCAGTGCCTAGAGGTAGGCGAATGGAGCAGACACAGAGCTCCTTCTCTGTGCTGCTCCAAAAACATCCACTGGATCTCCTGAAGACAGGAGTGACAGTTACTGCCTTGTTCTTTTGCTTAAAGGCAACTGAATTGCTAATACATAAAAAAGATCTCAAATCTTTAAAATTTGTGAGATAAATTTTAAAACAGTGCTACCTCAAAACCAGGCCAAGATGGCATTGCTGTATTGTTCACTGCTTTTTCTTCCCCTCTAGAACAAAAACTAGCTTCCAGGGTGGGACAAACAAGAGAAAGTCATTTAAAAAATCAAATAAATATGGATTTTAAAAAATATTTTCTTTCTGTGAAACTTTTCCAAACAGTCACAGAGTCGTAGATCAGAGGCTTTTAGATAAACTAGGAGGGGGAAAAAAATCACTAATATGAAACCAACAACGATATTTAAAACCTAGAAAATATGAAACAAAACAGAAGGGAAACGACATAGAGTCCAGTTATCATATCTGTATTACCGAATCTACAGAACAAAGGAAAACTAAATATAAAACTAAACAGATCTGTGTTTATTAATTTAGACAGAAAGAGGTTAAAGACAAATAAGAAGGTTTACTAAGAAACTATATCCCACCTTACAGGTAAATTTTTATTTGGACATAAAAAGTAATAGCTGTATGAGCTGAGGACCCTGATCCAAACTATTCTTAATACTTCCTTGCTCCAGAATGCCACCCCATAGCTTTCCTTTTGAGGGAGGGAGAACAAATTTTGCCTCTAGAAACAGCCACGATGTCTTTTTTTATAGAATTATCCGACTGAGTGGACATTTCCCACCTCGATTACACAGAAAATTATTAGATTCTCTAACTAGCTCTTAAAGCTTCCATGTGGCTTTTGTGAGTGATTCACACCCAACTGCTTTCTGAAAGGAGCAGGTGGAACTCACACGGGACTGCACTTGGGGGAGCAGGGTCAAGGTCAGCCTGGACCTGAGCACGCTGATCAGGGTAAAGCAAAACGGGTGATTCAATGTCATACTTAAGCATTTTTATAAAACCCCACATCTGTTTTCTCAGCTTTGATCGTCACAGATAGGTTTGCCTTTACAAATACTAGAAGGGAATGTGGCTGTTTATAAAAATCTATGTTCAGTGAAGGTATGGTCGTGACTTCTTTTCTGGCCATGGCTTAGACTACAGATTTGGCACTTCTCACTTGACCTGAAAGGAAGCAGATTTTTAAAATTACATTTCATTAGCTTGCACTATAAAACAAAAATGAAGACAGTGTTAAAAATGTTATTAAATTTACTGGCAGTAACACTGGTTAATAAATTGTATGTTTCAAGTGTACAATTCTATAACACATCATCTGTACATTCATTGTGTTCACCACCCAAAGTCTAGTCTCCTGTCACCATATAGTTAATCCCTTCACCTCATCCTCCCCACCCCACCCCCGTAGCCGCCATCCTGTTGTCTGTGTCTTTGAGTTTTTGTTTGTTTGTCTGTCTTGTTTGCTCATCGGTTGCTTTCAGTTTTCTATCCCACATATGAGTGAAATGATATGGTTCTTGACTTTTTCCATCTGACTTATTTCATTTAGCATGATATTCTCAAGATCCATCCATGTCGTTGTAAATTGAAGCCGGCTTTTAAAACAATGGGCACGAAATAAAATCAGTATGTTCCAGCCAGAACCAGTCACAAATTAAACCTTGGTGTTGGCATGTCAATTCATGTTTTCTCCCCTCCGCACACACTTTTAAAAAATATTTAAAGCTGAGAGGTCACACCTCCCATACAATCAGTACTGTTGTTCCTAACTCCGCCTCTGAATAGAGTGTCTTTTTAATAAACTGCTTAATCTCTCCTATCTTCACTTTCCTCATTGAAAAATGAAGGGGACATTTCAGAGGATCCATCAGGAGCTAACACTTCCACAATAAGAAGGTGCAAGATACTGGGGTGCATGGAGGGGATATAGGGGACTTGGAGAAAGGCAATTCTTCTTCGGTTGTGAGGAAGGAAGGAGGAAAGGTTGTTGAGCCAGGCTAACAGTAGTGGTGGAGCAGGAGGAGAAGGTGAGAATCAGGCTGTGTAACCAATAATTCAAGTCTTAATCATCTCCCTCCCCCTGGTCTCCTCTAGCTCCAATCCATGTTACAAAGAAAGCCAGATTATTCTCCCCTACTTATTCCTTCCTCTCTCCTACCCCAAGGCCTTTAATGGCAACCCACTGCCCTGAAAATAAACCCAGACTTTCTAAGCTTAAACTCAGTACTTTTAATGAAATGATCATGTTAACTTTCTAACCTTATTTTCTGCTGTTCCTTAACACAGACTCGACTACAATCAGCCAGATGGATACTGAACACTTCCTCAGTTCCACATTTGAACTTCTCTGAACATACACAGCCCTTAGTCTATCTTTTCAAGAATGCATGCTTAATGACAAACTGGTGGTGGGCTCCTCAAAGCCAAGGATGATATAAAGTGTCTATCTCCTTTCAGGAGACCTAGGAGAGTGCTATGTGTTTACTCAACAGATGTTAGGTATGGATGGCAAGGGATAATCTACCATGCTACCTAGACTAGATTAAGTGTCTTAATCTTAAAAAAAACCACAGCACCCCTTTTCATAATCTTAAAAATCTTAGGCATCGCATATCCACATTCAAAGGAATAAAGATGAACCCCTACCTCACATCATATATAAACAATAACTCACAGTGGATGATAGAACTAAATGTAAGAGCTTAAATACAAAACTCTTAAAAATAACACATAAAAGTAAATCTTGGTTACCCTGGACTGGGCAATATTTCTTAGAAATGACACTCAAAGCACCAGCAACAAAAGGAAAAATAGATAAATAGGACTTCACGAAACTTAGGGCCTTTTCTGCTTTAAAGGACACAATTAAGAAAATGAAAAGATAATCCACAGAATGAGAGAAAATATTTGCAAATTATATAACTGATAGGGACTTGTATCCAGAATACATAAAGAACTCTTACAGCTCAACAATAAAAAGACATCCAATTTAAAAATGGGCAAGGGATTCAAATAGACATTTCTCCAAAGAAAATATACAAATGGCCAGTAAGCACATGAAAAGATGCTTAACACCATTAGTAAATAAGGAAATGCAAATCAAAACCATATTAAGATACCACTTCACACCCACTAGGATGGCTAAAAAACTTTTTAAAGACAATAACAAATGTTGATAATGATTTGGAGAACCCTCAATTTTTACAGCTTGTGGGAATGGAAAATTGGAAACAGTCTGGCAATTCCTCAAAAGGCTAGACTCGGAAGTACAATATGATTCAGCAATTCCACTCCCAAGTATATACCCATGAGAAATAAAAACGTGGTCACACAAAAATTTGTTCACAAAAGTTCATAGTAGCATTACTTATAATAGTCAAAAGAGTGGAAACTCAAATGTCCATCTACTCATGAATCAATAAATTTGAATCCATACAATGGAATATTATTCATCCATAAAAACAATACTGACACATGTTACAACATGTGGATGAAACTTGTAAACATTATGGTAATTAGAAGAAGCCAGGCACAAGGGTGATGATTCTATTTATGAAATGTCCAGAACAGGCAAGTCCACAGAGATAGAAAGTAGACTGACTAGTGGTTGCCAGGGGCTTGGAGGGAGGAATGAGAAGTGACTGCTAATGGATATGGGTTCTTTCTGGGGTGGTAAAATGTTCTAAAATTAGATAGTGGTGATTATACAACTGTAAGTGTATTGAAAACCACTATATTGTACATCTTTAAATGGTGAATTTTATGGTATGAGAATTATATCTCAATAAAACTGCTATTTTTAAAAATCGTAGGCACACCTGCCACCAAGATCTGACAGTGTACCTCCCCCATTCACAAGACCATATTAGCACAATAGGTTTTTCAAAATATAGAGTTGCAATGCTGAAAGTGCTTTTTCAAATCCTGCCACTCTATCTCCTAGGAGGACATGTGTTCCTAGTTAAAAATCAGTGGTCAAAATCAAAGGCATAGTAAATTATATAACGTTAAATGATTAATGAAGGTAATAACATTAAGATTACTATTAGACATTCTCTAGAGAAATAATTCAGTTATTATTTTAAGCTCTTAATATTAAAACTATTAATAAAACTAGGGAGTTATATCACAGGTCAGTACTTGTAACTACTTAATGAAGATTGAAAACCAGAGTATCTCAGAAATAACAACATTGAACCTGATATTCATCTTTTCTGACATTCGAACCACTTTTTACCCAAAACTTACGTGGTGTAGTCATTTTTATGAGGATGGGAGTCACCATATCTTCCAATTGTTGTTTCTGCTCAAAAAGCTCTTTAATAGAAGCTTCCAAATGGGTTTCCAACCACTCATTTTTCATACGGCATGCAATGAGGATGTTATTCTAGAGACGGACACAGAAAATTTACCTTCCATTTATTTACTGAAAAACAAAACTCTGTAGTATCCTTAAGCCAGCACTCTCCAACAGAACTTTCTGCAATAATCTGTATCTGCATCACCTGATACAGCCACCATTAGACTACATATATGGCCACTGAGTACTAAAAAAGTGGACTGCTTCATAACTCTAGACTGTGAGTTTAATTTTACCTATGTTTTGCTGGTCTCAGAAGAGATCTTGTAAAGTGCTTTACAAACCACAAGTGAAATGTGTAACTTCTCATGTTCCCAGACTTGGTGACCTCTAGGCTTTAGCAAAACCTAATTCTTTTCATCAGAAAGTCACAAGAAACTTCACAGAACATCCTGCAGAGAAATGCAGGAAATAATTTAAAACTAAAACATATTCCTGATACCTTGCATATATCTTTTGTGTGTGTGTACATCCAAAGCAATACACTGTCTGCATGCAGTACTCAGTATATAGTAAATATGGCAAGCTGGCTTTAAATGAGCTATCTTTATACCTGTGCATCTTTTTACCATTATGTGATATAGGATACATTAAAAATATGTAATGTATATACACACACACTAAAATATATGATGTGTATCTAAGTTTTAAAGCAAAATAATGATTAGTGGACCTCTCTAATCAAGAGAAGACCCAGACAGAAGGCCTCCAGTACTACTGACCCTACTTCTATGCCCCTCCCCGATTCCATCCCCTTGCCCACTTCCAAGAAGTAATGACACTCTGTGTTTATACTTTTACTTCCCTTTTAAAAATAGTTTTATCCCACATGTAGGGCAAACCTAAACAATACAGTTTGATTTTGCTTGCTTTTGAGCTTTATAAAAATCTATGTAGTCTTTGGTGAATTTTTTTCACTCAACACTACATTCCTGAGATTCATTCATGTTGCTGGGTGAGATACTTAGTACATCTATGTCACTCCTTAATATTACTTCATAAATTTTTATTAGTCCATCTCTTATCAGTAGTTTATTAAGAAAGGAAAGAGGGAGAGGAGGGAAGGAAAATGCGAGAAGAAAGCAGTAAGGACCACCATCTACCTTTAGAGCATTAGTGTAGAAATTAAAGGTGTAAGAAAAAAATTTTAAAAGACTTCAGAACAAGCAATGATCACAATGTAGTACCTTATCTTCTTTTGAGAGTCTCCCTGGTCCCTTTTCTGAGTCTGTAACGGTTGCCGAGACCTTCATAATATATTTTTTCAGAGCCAGTCTTGCAGCTGAAAGATGACAGCAAGGTGTACAATAAATAAGGCAAAGACCAAAAAACATGCTCAACTATCTGTAAGGTACCATTACATATCCAGAGCTTTAAAGACACTGTGTGGAAGCGATTTTTTCTGTGTTTGCTTTCATTGAATTTCAAGAAATACAGCTCAACCAGCACAGCACCTTGGGCCCTCTGGCCTTCCAAAAATTCACAGCTATCCCATATGCAAAATACATTTACCCCATCTCAGCATCCAAAAGTCTCAACCCATTACACCACCAGGTCACGTCCTGATGTTCATGGAAGATATCATCAGCTCAGAAGTCTCAGATCTCATCATCTAAATCATCTAGACAAGGTCTGGGTGAGACTTCAGTCTGATCCTTCCACCCTGGGGTAGAATTCCTCTCCATCTGTAGACCTGTGAAACTGGAAACTAAACTCTCACTCCCAAAATACAGTGGTGGGACAGGCACAGAGTAACAGTTGTAGACACCTCCATTCAAGAAGGGCGAAAATGGAAGGAAAAAAGGAGTCACCCATCCCAAGCAATTTCAAAATCGTGTGCAGCAAACTAGTAGGTGTCAAGGCCTGGGGCTAAGCCTCTGCGGGGCAAGGCTCCCTCCTCTGGGGCTGCCGCTCCAGTGAGTCACCTTTCCCTCTTCAAGAAACGTGCCAAGTTTTTGCAGCTGAACAGTTTCACGGGTCATTTCCTGCCTGTAGAGTTTGGGAAGCCCGGCCAGGCTTTTTTCATTTTGTTCTCTCTCCGTCCCTTTGTCCAAACCGGCAGCGTTTCTACCAGTATAACACCCTCAAAGACCTTGAGTCTCCCCAGCTGTCGCTGAGACTCATTCCAGTAGACAAGAGGCTCCCCCCTGCGTGCTCTTGGACAGTCTCATTTCCATCCTGACTTCTGCAGAGGCGGCTGGGGGACCCATGAGCAGCATGCCAGTCTCTTCAGCACCAGCCAACACTGCAGAGCCATGCCCTTGGTGTTCTCTCAGCAGCACATTTTCCTCACAGGGAATCTTGTTTTTGCAGTTTTGCCCTCCAGATAGGCTGAGACATTCCCAAAACATCAACTCCTGTTCCCCTTTTGCATAACAATTTATCTTACTCCTCTCACAATTTCCTAGAAGCAACAGAAAGAAGTCAAGTCATGTCTTCAACATTTGGCTTGGAAATCTCTTCAGCTAAATGTCCAAGTTCGTCACTCCTAATTCAGCTAAGCTTTCTGCCACTACGGAACAAGATCGCCTTTCCTCCAGTCTCCTCATTTCCTTCTGAGCCCTCGCTGGTAGCATCTTTAATATGCATATTTCTACCAACAGTCTACTCAAGGCTTTTTCCACCATGCCCTTCAGAATTCTTCCATCTACCCACTATCCAATGTCAAAACTACTCTTCCACTTTTTTAGGCATCTGTTATAGCTGCACCTCACTTCCAGGTACCAAAATCTGTATTAGTTTCCTATGGCAACCGTAACAAATTTCCACCAACTTGATGGCTTCATACAACTCTAATTTATTCTTTCACAGTTCTGGAGGCCAGAATCAGTTTCCCTGGACTGAAGACAAGGCTGATTCCTTCCAGGGGCTCTAAGGGAAAAATCAGTTCCTTTTCAGCTTCCAGTGACTGTCTGTATTCCTCAGCAGTGGCCCCTCCCATACCTTCAAAGTGTATCATTCCAATCTCTGCTTGCAGCTCCACACCCCCTTCTCTTCTGTATCAAATACCCCTCTTCTTCTCTCTTATAAGGACACTTGTGATTATATTTAGGGCCCAACTGGATACTCTCCCAATGTTAAGATCCTTAACTTAATCATATCTGCAAAGTTCCTTCTGCAAAATTCCTTTTCACCTGTAACATTAGGGCCTGGGTATCTTTGGGGGCTGTTAACCAGCCTACCACAATCAGTACACACAATCTTGTATAATTCCAAGTAGGAATTTTTGAGAGACTTAATGTCACTCTAAAGCTCAATTGGGTCATCTATAGCACCTAACGATCTCTCTAAGCTTTGTATGCCTATCTGTAAAGTAAATGTACTTAAAAGTACCTTCCAGAGTCAATTCAGACCTACCTGTGGAATAGTATTAATGTATATGGACCGGCTAACTGGCTCTCTTGCTTCCAGCCCTTCATAGCTTCAACCCCATCATTTATGTTGCAAGTAGAATTAATTACCTAAACTGGAATCCAAGGTTTAGGTTTTGACTCCACTAGTTGGGAGACCTGGAGTCAGTGGTGCTCCCGCAATTTCAATATAGGATGGAGTTTAGGGAAGGGATTAGTTGAAAGAGGGAACTAAGAAACTTATCATGAACCTGAATTTGTATAATAAGCGGGCTGATTTTATCGAGAGCACATTTATTTCGGGTGGATTGGTAGAGAAGGCAGCTTATTGCAAGCATCCTTCTGATGCCACCATGCCCACCTTAGTCCATTCAGGCTGCCACAGCAAAGCACCACAGATTGGTAGCTTATAAGCAACAGAACTTTACTGTTCACAGTTCTGGCAGGTGGATAGCCCAAGATCAAGGCAGCAAAATGGTTGCAGTCTGGTGAGAGCCCTCTTCCATCAGAGCCAGGGCCTTCTTACTGTGTCCTCACAAGGTGAAAGGGGCTAGGGAGCTCTGTGAGGACTCTCTTAAAAGAATGCTAACCCCATTCATGAAGGGTCCACCCACATGCCCTAATTACCTCCCAAAGATTCCACCTCCTGATACCACCATTCGGGCATTAGGATTTCAACATGCAAAATTCCAGGGACTCAAACATTCAGACCACAGCAATTCCTTAACCCCTCTAACCTCGGTTTCCTCATCCAGATGTAAATATAGTTCAGTCCCCGTGGGGTCGTCGAAAGGATTAAACAAAATGCAGTATACTGCCTGCGAATGCCCTGGCACAGTGCCTGGGACACAGTAAAGCACTCAGTAAGTTTACCACGCCATGCCTCTCCTCAAAACGACTCCCTATTGGCTGCTGAAGAAAATACAGGGCCCTCCAGGGTCTATCTAGCCACAAGCTATCTTTCCAGCTTTATTCCTTCTAATATTCATCCAGAGAGTCTATCCATTATTTACTTCCTGTTCCCTCTGCCCCCAGATGGCAACACGACTCGCTCCTTCAGTTCCTCAGGTCCCTGCTCAAGCATCACCTTATCAGAGAGGCCTTTTCTGATTGCCCTCTATAAAGTCATACACACACACACACACTCACACTCACACACACACACACTCCTTCACTTGCTGGTCACTCCATAACCCCTTTGCCACTCCACTTTCTTTTTCTCCGTAACACTCCAAAGATATATAGATTTAAATACGTTTTCTACGTCTCCCCGCTAGAAAGGGAACTTTGTGAAAATAGGATTTTGTTGTGTGCCTACTTGTGTATGATTTCTGAGTTCCTAGAACAGCATTTAGCACATGGGAGATAATAAATATTTGTTGTGTGAGTGTTTACACAGAAGTTCTTTGCTTCTGTTCTTTATGTCCCCTCAACCTAAGATGCCCTGTTCAGCCACCAAAACCCAGCTCCTCTTCAAAGCCAATGTAAGTGCACCTCCTAATCCCCCAAGTGAAACTCATGCTCTAGCAACTGTTATGGGATTATTATTTGATTTAGCTCACATTTTAGTCCACGGTACCTTGGAATTTTTATTATCTTGTGTTCTGCTTCTACCTCTAGGTTGTGAGCTCCTTAAAGGCAGGGTCTCTGTCTCATCTTCTTACCATACACCATGCCCCCTCACCACCTCATCTCTTCACAAGCTGTGCCAAATTCCCCACCACTTACCCACTACCTAATAGCACCACATGGCCACCAAAGGGGCATAGGTTAAAAGAGGAAGGCACTTTTTTTGCTTAACTGTTTGAAAGGAAGGATATTTCAGACTGAAAAAGCAGAAGCAGATTGTAGGTTGAGTGAAATGGCATAGCTACAGATTATTTTTAAAGTGGATGTAAAACAGCCACACTTGAGAAGGGTTGGAAGGGACCTAGGTAAGTTGTTTCCATGAAATTCCATTAAGGTGATTATAGCTTGAATTTACTAGCTAGCAAGATATTAGCAAAGCCTTCATTTTTCATAAAATTGAAGTAGCTCAAATAATTCTGGTAAAAAAGCAAGAAAAAGTATCCCAAGGTGACTGGCTCAGTGACACCTTTCAGCTACAATGTGATGTCACTGACTCTGTCCATGAATCACTATGACTGATGATGTCACAATGATCAGCAGTGTATATTTTGCCTAGTGGGAAGACTATCTTCAGTGGGTTTACTGGAACACATATCACCTAGTACTCAGGACATTCCTGCTCTGTCTCTGACTAGAGTTTTGGCTATAGTTTTGTTTTGGGGGTTTTTGTCCTGATTGAGAAAGATGTCCACTCAAGCACTACCCCCAATTTTTCTTCTGTTGTTCATCTGCTTATTAAAGGAAAGTTCCTGCATTTGTGATGGAACTACCTGGACCAAGGTTGGATGGGAGATATTTCCTGAAGAAATTCCTTATCTGAAAGTCAAGCCTTCTCCACCTCAATGTCTACCTTACCCTATGAACAAACTATGCTGCCATTTTGTTAATATGGATATATTTTCGAGTTTTTTACTTCTCGTGTATATTTTAGGACAAGCTGTCTTTTTAATTCTGCTTGCTTTATCTGTGCATTACCTGTGGGTGAAGTGGAAGAAACACAAGAAAAGAGTAAGTCAGTGATGCAAATAGTAATAGTTATAGGATATCAGAGTTTAAAACACAAGATTACCAGCTTCTTTGCAGGAAAGTACCATGTCTTTTTCCCCTTTGCAACCTCCCCTAGTCCGCACCATTCACCCTCAACATCTAGCACAGTTCTGGCACGTAGTATGTGCTCAACAAATGAGTATTAAATTAAAATGTCCTTAAAATAACCTAGTCCAATCCCTCCCTTTCAAGTTACAAAATGCATCAAGAAAGTAGTGAGTGCCCTAGCTGGTCTGGCTCAGTGGTTAGAGCGCTGGCCCTCGGGCTGCAGGGTCCCAGGTTCAGTTCTGGCTGGGGGCATGTACCTCCGTTGCAAGCTCGATCCTCAGTCCTGGTCAGGGCTCGTGCAAGAGGCAACCAATTGATGTGTCTCTCTCACATCGATATTTCTCTCTCTTCCACTCTCTCTGAAAAAGCAATGGAAAAAATAACCTCGGGTGAGGATTGCAAAAAAAAAAAAAAGTAAGTAGTGAGCTACAATGAGTAGAATGTACAGGAAATGAAGTTATCTGTCTGGGCCGAGAGGTAAGTCATTAGATCTTTTCCAGCTGTCTCACCCATAAAATGAAGGATATGGAACAAGATATCTGGTAGATTCCTTCCAGATCTATCTAAGAGGGTTAAGTATATAGAAGTTGACATGTATTTTTTAAATGGACTGTAAACTAATGTCTAATGTTTTGATAATTTTCTGGGAAATTAAAGAGAAAATTTCCCACTTTGCCAATGACACCATATTTTGAGGAAATCTTAAAAGCTCATTGACTTTTACAGTAATCAGATTGTTTTAAAATGACTATGATTTTATTGCATTATTCCTTGAGGCTGTTTAGTAAAGGGAATTATTTTGCTAATGTTCAAATAATTTCTCCCAGCAGAATGCTCCGACCATAAAAAGCACTTTTTAAATATTTGTTGATGGCGATAATGATTACTATCATCTTTCACGGGGGTATATGCAAAAGAGCATTCTTCTGTATAAATAAGTAATGTGTGGTGTTTAAGTATAGCTATCCAGAAAATTTAATTTGAACTACAGTAAGAAAAAAACACCTATAATTTCATTTGCTTTTCCCCTTCTAGCTGAAGAAACAAGCCTCTTTAGATACAGTTGATAATGAACTAGAAAGCCAGTCCATCAATGACATAGACCAACTACTCTACAAACTGTTGGCCACGACATCAATGATGACTGAGTACCTGAACCAGAGGACCCACCGTCCTACATCTAAGAAACACAAACACGGAAAAGTAAGGAGCAAGAGCAGAGGAGGAGCCCGAGGACATCATAAACACGAGTGTAGTTCAGTCCAATATGGAGACCACACAAGAAGTCTATTGAGATAACTCATATAAGGTTCAAAATTGTTCTCTGTGAGCCTTTCTAATTTCTTTGCCACATTCTTTACTGAAGTCCAGGTTGAAAAGTTATTTCTATTCAGCTAAAAAGACATCTGCACTTGCTAAAGTACTGGGGGAAAGGCTGTTCACTGTCACTACTTCAGATGTAAGTATTTCGTTCTTTTTAATGTATTACATTACTGATCATTAACCTATCCGTAGAGGAGAATTTTTAGTGTTTTAATAAATCTCTGATTTATTTGTGACTTTTCTTACTTTCCTGAGCAAATCAAGAAGACTTAATTTCCCTTCTCAGATGCCCTTTGCTAGAATAGTATGGAAGTATTAAGGAATAGATTAATTTTTAAAATATAACTTTTCCCATTTTTAGTATAATAAATGATGAATTGAATATCAATTTTTTTTAATTTCTGAGTTTTGTTGCTCAGCCACCTCAATTTTTAAATGGCTACCATATCCTCCAACAAATACTAGGAGACTGATCTGAGACTAGGAAGAAAGTTTGATTAAAAATATGAAAAATCCCAGAAATACATGCCAGATCTAAGGCTGGGAGGAGGAGAGGCTAAAGAAAAATTAGGAGACATCTGTAATACCGTCAACAATTTTTAAAAAACTCCTTGAAACAAAAATAGAAAGCTCTACAGTGTTTACAAGTAATAGAAAACAATAGCACCCGTCTTAGGTTATTGTGGATTATTAAAAGTTTATTTACGGTTCCATATTCCAGATTCTCCTCCTCCCTTCCATGCTTCCTTAGCACAACCCTACCCACATTTCTACAGATGTTTGCTCCATCCCTCCGGAGTTCTGAACTGTCAACTAATTCCCGCTCAGAGAATGCTGATATATTTTTCTTTTAATGGAGCACTCTTGAACACTTAAAAAGTGTCCAAATCTCAAAAATTCAAAGAAATTTATCTCTAACAGTGGAATTTTCATCAGAATGGAGAACTCTTTGGGGTAGGGAGTCCTCAACCCCTTAAAACTCTCCAGATGCCTCCTACTCTAACCACTGGAACAAGGAAGGAAAGTGGTTTGTACGCTTGGAAGTCTGAATTAAACAAATGTGCAATTTTATGTTGAGTAGTTTGTTTCTGATACTCCAGAGCTACATTCACTTGAAGCTCCAATCCTTACAATTCCATCACTGATTTGGAAATAGAATACCAGTATATAGCACTAGCATCTTCTTTTATCTTCATCACTAGGAAATATTGGATATAATTTCCCCAAGAATGTAAGGACCCAAACTAAAACAGATAGCTATTAGGGAAAGGAAAACAATAAAACTCCATACCCATAAGCCCCAAACTGTTTCTTTTCAGCAAAGTAACAGGAAAATTTGTCCCTGGATTGTGTTTCTTAAGTACTATGGGTCATTCTTCAAAAGTGGGTTGGGTTGTTGTTGTTTTTTGTCCAAGGTGACATAGGTTTCAAGTAGAGAAACCTGTATGTATACTCAAGCAATCTGAGGCAAGAGCCCATGTAGTTAACGCTTTTATTATTCTGCAGCTTACCTATGCAAACTAGGACTTGCCGTTCCAGTAAGGCAATCTTGTCACTGTCCCTCAACATGCCACTTTCACTCCCAGCTCTAAGAGTTAGCTCACACCCTTTTCCTTCAATTTATTTTCAGATCCCACCCATTCTTCAAGGCCCAGCTCAACTCCAACATGCTCTGACTTCATGGCCTCCATCCATTTCATAGCATGTATGACCTGCTCTGCTGATTTTAACCCTTCATCATAGTCTTTCTGATATTGTTACTTAACGGTAGGACATGCCTATAGTTTACCATCCCCCACCTAATAAATGTCCAGAGGGCAGGAACAACCAATTGTACCTACAACAATGCTCAGTGAGCATTTAATAAATGCTTGCTAAAAGCACGAATGCAAATTACTACATAAAACGAATGCCATGAACTTCACATTGACTAATTTTTCAGCCACTGTTTGTACACATGCAAATCTCTAAGCAGTATTTTCCAAGACTGTGGAAATGACATATGCAAAATACTAGTAAAACTCAAAGCAGCACGTGGGGTTTTTTACCTCTGATGGAAGCATAACATACAGACAGAAAAGCCCACAGGTGAGTCAGTCAGCTTGCTGACCCATTGTGGGCGCCCTTACCTGCCCAGTCCAGGAATTCAATGCACTCGGTCTGGGCATACCGAGCGGCCACATCGCGAGCTCTCTCTTGCCGGAAGTTCAGAGCTTCTATATCAACATCCAGTTCCACCAGCACTTTCAAAGTTTCCAGCCGACCCCAGGCTGCAGCACAGTGTAAGAGCGTATAACCTGGCAAACGGCATGAAGACGGTCAGGTCCCCCGGACTGCACTCTTCAAGGTTCGTCACTGCAACGATACTACTGAGCATTTACTGTTTACCAACTTACTATGTGCCAAGGACGATGAGAGATTTCTAATTATCTTACTGGATTGTTACACCTTATGAGGAAAATACAATTATTAGCCCCATTTTGCAGATGAAGGCCCAAAAGGTAACTTGCCCAAGCCAGACAGCAAATAGCGGAGTCTGTTTTCTTAACTACTATGCTATACCATATAAACATATATACACACGTACGTTCTTATACACGTGTACGTACATTATATATGCAAAATACAAAGCAGGCGCATCCTGTTTATGCACCTTTAGGTAGTCATAAGTAACACCGAGAGAGAAAAGACAAAATACCTCTGGCAGTGTTGTCGTTCAGATTCACGCCGTATTTTGCCAAAGCTCTAATGACATCACTCTGCCCAGCCATGCAAGCCGCGTACAGCAAATTTCTCCCCACGATGTCTTCTTCCAACAGGAGCCGCATGGCCTGGTCGTAATGAGGGTTGTCCGGGTCCTCGAACATCGCCTGTAAGCCTTCGACGTCCCCCGTGAGGGCAGGCTGCAGGAGGGGGTTAAGAGGGCCTGTTGCCCCCTTCTGCTCCTCCTCCTCCTCTTCCTCCTCCTCCTCTTCCTCCTCCTCTTCTTCCTCTCCCTCCTCCTCCTCCTCCTCTTCAACTTCTTCTTCTTGATGTGAGAAAAGTTCTGATTTTTCTGAACCCTCTGAGTCCGGGGGTCCTTCTGGCTCCATGAACTCCAAAAATACCTGAGACAAAAAAAGAGAATAATAGGAATCTACTCAAACGAATCGGTATTTATTTATGTAGTAGGTCTGGCCTATTAGCAGGCAGATGGGTTCTCCTATCTGCTTCTGCGTTCACTGTGATGACACGTGACGTTGTGATATCACATCAGGTGGCCTCTGGGAAACCATTGTAACATGCGAGACAGGGCAAAGGCACTCTTCGTCTAAGAGTATGAAGAAAGTTTGACTGGTAGAGTCCATGAAAATGTGTTAGGGATCCCCAGGGACTCCCTCAGACCACACTTGGAGAGCTACAGGACACCATCTCAAGAAGAGAATCAGAGGAGAAGTTACCTGAGAACCTAAATATTTGTGTATAAGAGAAACTAAGCATTGGATAAACTTTAAAGCTGATTGAACATTTCCATTATTTTTTCCTAACAATCAATAATCGAGTGCTCGTGGAAGAAATGAGATCTGTCATAGACAAAAATAAATGACATTTTCTTTGTCCATAACTGTAACATCAATCAGAATTACAAAGCCACCACCAAAAGTTCACAGAGAATATGAGTGAGGGGCACGGGAGGACTGGGCTATGAAGGCAGCAGGGCCTACGTGAGTCAGAGGGCCCATGCTTTAGTTCTGATTCTGATATTTATTAATCGGGCGACTTTGCTGAATTCACTCTCCTCACTTGCAAAATGAGACTAGCACCTGCTCTGCCTTACTGAGCTAGTGTGGGAAAACAGCCTATCAACTTTTCCTTTGAACTATAAAGTGTGAATTCTTTTTTTTAGTCTTGTATTATTATTTAGTATTGTATTTCCATACGGACAACTGTAAACCTACTTTCAAAGTGTGAATTCTTTTGAGGCTGCTAAGGCACTAACAATAGAAAATCACATAGGTCATGGTCCCTGCCCCTTGGCCTTTAGAGGCTAGTGGGAAGGACACAGTAAGTCCGCAAAGAGGAGAGCTACGGGATGTGATGGAGAAACGCAAAGGGCGCTCGGAGGGAGGAGAATGGACGTCTAAAGCAGGCTCCGAGTTGGGGGGTCTGGGGAAGACTCTCCAGGAGAGGAGACACTTCGGTGTTGAAGAGGAGTCTTAAAAGGAGGCGGAAAGGACAACCCGGCGCCGGGAGAAGCCTAAACAAAGGGCAAGAAGGCAGTCGCGGCAGCACGAGGTTGCAGGCGAGGAACGGATCTTCACGGCCTTTGAAGCCAATTGCATTTTTAAAAATGTAGTCCCTGGAGGATCTTAAGTCTCAGCTCTGGGAGAAGGTCCCCAAGGGCGGCCCTGGGTCCCCAGAGTTAAAGGGAAGACCTGAGAAGAGGGCACAGAGTGTGGCAGCCCGGCCGCATGACCCAAAAGGTCCCGAGGAGGGGGCACCAGAGTTCGCCTCTCGCCCTGAACCCCGCAGGGACCTCCCGGGCTCCCCGAGGCTGCCGCCGAGGCGAGACTTGCTACGCAGAACTCCGGGAAGAGACGAACCCCCTCCCAGTCAACCCCCCGCCCGAGCGGCGCGGCTGGGAGGTTCCCCTTCCCCCTCCCGCCCGCCGGGGCCCCCGGGTCGGGGCCCCGCACTCACAGCTCCCGGGACCCGGCGCTTCCGCCGTTACCATGGCGACGACGCACTCGGAGCGCGCGAGCCCCGCCCCGAGAGCCGCGCTGAGCTTT